CGTGTTGTGAGGTTGGCTCGGGATGTGTGGTGCAGAGCGACTCTACTTCGGTCCTGTCCCACATCATTCCCCAAGCTTGCAGGAGGGGATCTTCTCGTGCCTTGCTTGGATCCAGAGGCTTTTGCTCTTCTCCAGAGTCTCTATAGCAGACCCTGTGCTGCCACCAAGTAGCGCTGATGCTAGTGGGGGCTGCACACGTCCAGCAGCCCAAAGCCTGGGCCAGCAGCAAGCGGTCACTTTAGAACCACCAGCGCTTCATGTGGCCACCACCTCTGTCCCTCTGTCCAGATGCTGCCTCATTATGGACACATCCTGAATAAGAGCAACCACTGATAAATTTGTAGGCAGTTGCAGCGTCTGTCTGGACAGAGGTGGGAGCACACATTGCTGCAGCTCTTGTACAGCGATGCCTTCTCCACCTCAGAGTCAAGAGGTGTGCTGTGCATCCCTGGGGAGCTGCTTGGAGGATCTCATATGTGTCTCTACTTCAAACAGGGCGCTGGGTCAGCGCAGCCTCAGCACCGCCATCCAGGGTGTTTCGGGCTGTGGTGCAGCGCTGAAGATGTAAAACCAGCCAAAGGATGTTCCCTGTCACCTGAGAAGCCTCATTTTTATGAAAGAAACTGAGCGTCAGTGATACCATGCTCTGAAAAAAAAAAAAAGCCATTAGCTGCATTGCAGGGAGTGGGATGAGTCTGTCCTGGAGAGCATCGTCTTGCCGGAGACCTGTGGGTTTACCGGCTGTGTTGGTCATGCCAGCGTTACCTGGGCTCCAGGGTCAGCTGGCGCATGGCCTGGCTGCCATCTGCAGGTTTGTCCCGAAGTCCCAGTTTTGCTCTTGAGATACAGAGTGCCCTGGGGACAGGCCTGTGGCCCTGGGGAGGGCAGCACAGCCTGGTTCGGCTGCGGTAGCATCAGCAGGAGCATGGCCTGCAGGGGCCCATGGGTTTTCCACTGAAAGCCTGGGACGTTGAATTTTCAAGCTGAGGGGTGCTGCAGAGCTGGACTGTGTATGTTAATTGCAGGTCTTGGTGGTGAGACCGTCTGCTTTGGGGTGGAGGGGAGCTGGAGTGCCCATCCTCGTCCTGCAGCACTGCACTTGCGCAGCTCTGGCTGCTGGCTTGCCTGCAGTGGTGGGGTCTGGCCAACATGGGTCCCTTCAGCACTGTTCCTCTGTGTGGAGGTTTGGAAACCAAAGCACGCTGAGGATTTGGGGCAAAAGTCAGCATTGTCTCATTCTTGGACTCCTGTGGCTCTTCCTCCTGGCTGTCAGCCCTGGGGTAGCTCCATCCTGCCCAGCTCTGGGTGGCAGCCCCCTATCTTTGGGTTCCCTGGGAGGGCTGTGCTGCTTTTGGGACAGCCCTGTCCTCTCCAGTGCCTTCTGCAGGGCGACACGAAGTTCCATGCTATAGTTGCCCCGCGACACTTGGAGCCCCAAAAAGCTGCAATACCCGCTGTCGAAGGGGAACTTTGCAAAGGCTTGGCTTGAATTTGACTTTTCCATCTGAGTGGGGTGCTCAGAGTCAAGTGTCTGTTGGAGGGGCTGTCACGGCTCGGTTCAGCGGTGCAAGACGTGCTGGGGGCCAGAGCAAGCCCCCGCAGCAGCGCTGGTCTTTTGTAACTGTTTCAGAGAAGAGCTCCTGGAAAGGCAGCGGCTTTGCGAGGGAAGCTTGTGCCTGCTGGGCCCTCCCGCCCTGCGCTGTGCACGAAGCCAGTCGGGGGGGCTGTGAGGGAGAAATGAACCCCCTGCCTTCCTCTCCCTGTTGGAGCTTGGGCAGGGTTTGGCAGGGACTCGGCTGAGCCACACGGCAGGAGGAGCATAAGGCTGGGTGGTTTTGGGGAGGGTCCAGGCGCTGGTGAGAGCCGTCCAACCCAGGGCATGTTGGCCATCTGCTCCTGCCCCATGGAGGACCATGTTCTGGTGGAGACATGACTTCAGATGTCATGGGGATGGACTTTCAGCACTGCCATCTCCAGTCCCTGGGGAACGGCTTGTTTGTGAGCACCCGGGAGTATGGGCCTGCAAAACAGCCAGCAGCGATTTATCGAGAGCAGGTGGCATCAAGGTGGTGTCATCATGTGCTAGGACAGGGTGACAGCCACCTGGCCACAGCGAGGAGCGGCTCTGCGTGCTGCTCACCCGAGCTGGTGCAGCAAGGAGGCTGAGGTTGTTCCAGCGAGCTGAGGTCCTGGGTGCTGGCCGAGCAGGTGACGATGGCTGAAGTGGCAGGTGATGTGGTGTCCACGTGCATGTGGCAGAAGATGGGGCTCAGAGTGAGCTGGGGGCACTGCTCACCCCCACAAAAGCTGGATCCTGGCCACCTCTCCCAGTAACCCAGGTGGAAGGAGGTGGGGCTGAGCAGAAGGGTCATTCATCTTCCAGCCAGGACACCAAGGCAGGGTGGTTTGGCCAGGGTGCTGAGGGGACCTTGACAAAATTAGTGATGAACTAGAGCCTGCAGAGACCTGATCCACCCATTGTAGCCACAAAATCCATCTTGCCTGCAAGGATTTTTGTGCCTCCTGGAGAAATCCCATTCCCAAGTGATCGGTGCATCTGGGCATGACCTCTGGGGTCAGCACGGATGCTGTGTCTGTTGCGTAACTGAAATTTCGAGGGAAGGATGTGTCTAGCAAAGCTTTTGCATGGCTGCAGCTGGGCTGGTCTCCCCTCTCTCTGGCAGTGGAGATGCGGATGGCTGGACCCTGCGGGTATCAGCACCCAGGACGGTTGGAGAGGGAAGAGGGGACATCATGGTTCCATGGTTCAAAGTTGCTTTCAGAGAGCAGCTGATGCAGGAGGAGCTCAGCATGTTGCGACATATTGAAGACAGTGCTGCGGGTGCCAGGACAGCAGGGACTACTGCAGACTGTCCTTGACCACAATGTGTCACATTTTCAGCCTGGCCTTTTTTGGACGGCACGAGTGGGTTTGTCCTCTTGGCTGTGGGCAGCCTGGAGGCAGGCACTGTGGTGGGGGGAAGGATCTGGGGCAGGGAGCAAGGCCATGTGTTGCTCACGGAGATGTGCTCACTCGCATCTCTCATGGGGGAAAACAGAGGTGACTCCTGGCTCCTGCAGCCCATCCCTTCATGGAAGAAGAGCTCCTGTCACACGTGAATCCTGTCTCAGGTGGCTTTCACACAGCCAGCAGTTCCCGTGATGTGGTTCAGGATCCCCAATGGAGGCTCCTGCAGCTTCTGAGAGCTCTTCAGCAATTGCTTTCCACATCTTGTGATCAAAGCCTGATAATTTCTTAAAACCTGGTCCTTAAACCCAAATTATGTGTGGAACCTCAGTCCGCAGGAGACATCCGTGTTGGCTGGTGGTAGAGCGATCCCTGCCTGCTTCCCCTCCTCTCCCCCGTGCCCTTCCCTGCCAGTCCCTGGTGTGGTTTCTGGGTGCACCGTGGCTTGGAGACCCCTTGGCTGCCGGGCTTTGCTGATGAACGCAAAAGGGAAATGAAAAAGGGAAGTGGTGTGTAACGCAGAACCGTTGGAAGAGGTCAGGAAAACCCTGGGGACACGCTGACATGGTGGGTCTGGAGAAGCTGTTGGCTCAACCAGGCACAAAATTCTGCTTATCAGAAAATGGCATAAATTGCCTTCCCTTTTTGAGGTTTGTGTTAACTGAAATAAAACGCAGAAAAGTCCGAGGGAAACTGAGATTTTTAAGCCAGTAAAGAGCTGCTGAGATGAGTTCATCCACGATTGTTGGTTCCTGCAGGTTTCTGGCACTGGTGGCCAAAAGCCCCAGCACTGTGTTATCCTGATTATCAAACCCTCTTCCCCGTCGGCTTCCTCAGCATCCTGCAGCAGGGCCTTCCACAGGGATGCATTTAAAAAGCAAAGAGAAACCTGTTTTGAGTCCCAGTGAGGCTGCCTGCCAGGCGGGAGGCTGCTAGAGGCAGAGGGTGAAGGGCTGTGGCAGCTCCCGCATCCTGCCCCAGGGATGCCACGTTGCTGCTGGGGCTGCCTGGAGCATTGCCCTGTGCTGCTCAGCCCAGGATGGTCTTGCAGCCTTGGGATTTGAGCAGCAAACTGGAAGGTGGGGTGGGCTTTAACAGACCAGTGCTGTCCTGTCGCTCTGGTGTGGTGCCGGGCACGTGGGCTGGCAAGCCAGCATCTCTCCGTGATGGCAGAGGGACAGTTCCTGCTCACCACTCTGACAAGACTAACCTAATTGCGCGGTGGCACTGGGATGCTGCAAATCTGTGGCAATTTCATGCTTCTCCTGCCTGAAGCAGCTTGGAGCTGTGCTGCTGGAAAAGATACATCGGCGGCTCCAGGGGAGGGGAGAGGGGACCTTTCGCATCCCCCCATGTCACCCAGCACGAGCACTTGGCTCTTCTGCACGGGCAGGGGGCAGGGGCTGGAAGGCCTGTGCAGGCAGGCAGCAGGCTTGCAGGAAAGCAGAAGTCAGTCTGGTTTGGGCTGGGCCGTGAATGATCCGAAGCAGGAAATGTGCCAGAGCCCCCAGGACTCACGGCCGAAAAGGAGCCAATGCAGGAGGTGGCTCTCCTGGATGGGAAGCCCGTCCGGCTCCCTCCCCCCTCAGTGGTCCTCGCCAGTGGGTTTTGTGGGAGAGATTTGGGCCTGGCATGGCTGACCTGAGGTCACTGCGGTGCGCGAAGGTCTCGGCCTCCTTCTGCAAAGGGCTTGGGAATCCCACCAGGAAAGGGCTGGGTTGGCTGAGCCTCCACTGCCCCACCAAGGTGGCAGTGGGGCTGGGGCTGGGGGTGGCAGCTTGCTGGGGGGTGGAGGCTTCAGTGGGGCACCCAGGGCCCCCTGCACCCCATGCATTATCATCATCATTTCCACAGGCATTTTGTCTCCTTGGCTCTAATTTTGCTCCTGGTGTGGATCAGGAGGAGGGTCACGCCATGCCTGCTGCAGGGCTGGCAGAGCGTTTGGGGTTATTTCTGGTCCTCGCTGCCCTGCTTGGGGCAAGCTGGTGGGATTTCCATGCCTCCTAACACTGTTTTGCCTTGTTCCTTGCAGTCAGGACAGTTCAACGAAGACATGATCCCAACGGTGGGCTTTAACATGAGGAAGATCACCAAGGGGAACGTTACCATAAAAGTAAGGTGCAGATATTGTCATTGATGGGGGCTCTTGGGATAAAAGATGGAGTGAAGGGAGATTGGTGGGCCTTCTGCTGGAGGTTGAAGGATGCCAGCAACCCCAGCTGCAGTTGGGAAGATCTGCCCTGTTAGGCTCCTGCAGGTACCCCCCAGAGGAGATGGTGGGAGGGGATGTGGGAGATCCAGACTCTCAAGTAAGAGCCAGTCCAGGCTGCAAAGCTGGAGGTTTCCTTATACCTCTGGCTTGCTGGTGGGGACTCATGGATGTGGTGACCTTGGGAGCTCCAGGAAAAACAGGTCATGGCTTGTGGTGGTGGTCTCTGCCTCAAGAGCAAAGGGAGAGGAGGCTTCTACCCCTTCCAGATCTTTCAAGGGCCCTGGATTGGACTGGGAAATAATGGTGGAATGGGCTTGAAAAGCTGATTGGGGATCTCTGCCTGCTGCAGAAATGTTTCCACGAGCATGCTGAGTGACTTGCAATGGCAGATGCATCAATGGAAGGCTGGGAGGTGCGGTGGGCATGGGGAGAAACACCCTGGCTTGGGCCAGGGGGTCCCTCTGTGCCAGCAGAGGCACATCGCAGGAGGTGTTCAACACCCTCCATCTGCCCTTCCCGAGATGTCTCCTTTCTGTATTGAGTCGGGAGCCTCCTCGTTAGGTTTGAGCTGAAGAGAAGGGGATGGGGGTGGGTTTGGTGCATGGCCGGTGCTCTGGCCGGGCAGCAGGGGGCAGGGGCAGGGGCAGGACGGTGGGGTAACGTTGCCTTCTCCCTGTCACAGCTCTGGGACATCGGTGGCCAGCCACGGTTTCGCAGCATGTGGGAGCGGTACTGCCGTGGAGTGAGTGCCATCGTGTGAGTATCCCTGGGAGCTGAGAGCCCCGTCACCCACGTGCTGATGCTGAGCCTCCCCGGTGGATGGGGGCACGGTCCCATTGCCCCACCCAAGGGTGCTGGGCAGGGCTGAGCCGGGGGAGCTGTGGTGCTTTCGCTGCCGGAGCTGGACAGCAGTGTCGGGAGTTGAGATGCTTCCTTGTGGGAGTGGTGCCCCCTCGGGCTTTGGGCAGAGGGCAGCGAGGTCCCTGCCAGCTGTGGCAGACCCTTCCCTTCCAGCAGTGCTCAGCTCGGATCTTGCCCTTCCCGGCTCCCGTGCTTCCCCTGCGCTGCCTCTTCATCGCAGGGCCTGAGCAAAGGCCACCAGTGTGGCTCAGCCCTTTCCAAGAGGCTGCCAGCAGTGTGTTTCCAGGTTGTGGTGTTCATGGGCTGCTGGGTGGATCTTCTGCTGGGAGAGGAGGAGGCTGAGGGGAGACCTCATCCCTCCCTACAACTGCCTGAGAGGAGGCTGTAGTGAGGTGGGGGTCGGTCTCTTCACCCGAGTAACAAGTGACAGGACATGGGGAAATGGCCTCAAGCTGCGCCAGGGGAGGTTTAGATTGGAGATCAGGAAGAATTTCTTTACTGAAAGAGTGGTCAGACATTGGAACAGGCTGCCCAGGGAAGTGGTGGAGTCGCTGTCTCTGGAGGTGTTCAAAAAACGTGTAGATGTGTCGGGGCATGGTTTAGTGCTGGGTTTGGTGGTGTTAGGTCAGCGGTTGGACTTGATGATCTCAGAGGTCTGTTCCAGCCTAATGATTCTATGATTCTGTAAGTACCTGTGCAATGCCTGCTGCTGACTGTCAGCAAGTCTCTGAGTGTCCCTGCATGTCCCCTGCTTGCAAACATTGCAGTAAGTGCAGTCCCAGGGAGTCTAGGCTGGGGATGAGCCTGGCAAGATGCTCATGGACTTACTGCTCCTAAGGACAAATATTTACCCTGGGAGGCCACGCTGGGGTCACTTAAACCCAATCAGAAAATCATATATATGTCATCTTCACCATCTGACCATACCCTGGGATTTTGGAGGGCTGTGTTTCTGTACTGCTCTTCCCAACTGCAAGTCTGGCAGGTGAGGAGGAGTGAGGGAGTGCTTGTCCTGCTTGTTGGGACAACGGTATCTGGTCCTGCCCTTGCTAATTGTCACCATGCCAGGACATGTCCTTGACACTTTTTCTTAAAGTGAGCTTTGCTGAAAGTGACAAAATCCCATTTTCTTCACTCCTTTTACTGCTTCCTTGCATAATTTCGTAATTTTTGCAAAGTGGCCGCTCTGGTTGAGAGGAAGCAAAAGGACCTGTGGCCGTCCAGGTCACACTCCAGTCTGCCTTCCTCTCCTCCATCATGTCCTTTTTCACTTGCCTTCAGCCCTCCTGCCCCATCCAGCATGCTGAAGGCTTGTGGCAGTGCCTGGGTGGTGTTTTTCCCTCTCCCTCTCAGTATAGCTTGTACACGTTTTCCTGTGTTCAGCACTTCAGTAGCTAAAGGCTTTTTTCCTGGTTTCTTTTTCCTATATTTTTTTCTTCCTATTTTCCTATAAACCTGAAAAGGCCTGATGAAGCTTGATGGTGTTTCTCACTTCTCTCCCAGCTTCTTGATCTTTAAAATAAAGGCTGCTTTGATCAGTTCCTCTCCCCAGTTTTGGCTTCATATATGTCCTTTGCAGGATGGGTGTCCACCCGTAAGAGCTAAATCCTTCCCTAAATCTCTCCTGTCTACTCAGTCATTGCTGACTGCTGGTTTCAGTGCCCTTTGCTCCGTGCCCCATGCCCAAGATTGCTCCTGTTGAGAGGATGAGCAAGTCCTTCCCCCTCTTGGGTTGACATCATCTCTTGTTCCCCATCATCAGCTCCTCTTGTCTTCTCCACTTGTCCTCTATTCTGGGTGTCTCCATAGGAGCTACCACGTGCAGATAAGCCTCGCTTGGGGACAACATGGGTCTTGCAGCTTCTTCTGCCCACGCAGTGCTCTGGGCTTCCCTTGCCTGCCGTGTCCCTGCTGTCAACAGGGTGGACCCCTGTGGGGACAGGGACAAGGAGGACCCCCACTGCCCTGGGGCTCTCAGCCCCACAGCCTTCCTTGGGAAGAGGAGTCCTGGGGGAAGGATCCCATTATCCATCACCTCCATGCATGGACCCAGGGCCCAGTGGGGGTGTGGAGCAGCTGCCGTGTGAGCAAGGTTTGGTGGTGGCACAGACCTCAGCACGGCACCAGGCCTTGGCACCTCTGCTCAGGGATGGCCCTTCCTTGCAGGTACATGGTGGATGCTGCCGACCAGGAGAAGATCGAGGCCTCCAAGAATGAACTGCACAACCTG